GCTATCAACTTCAATGACCTGAGATCTGGCAGCCCTCAGTTACCTACTACCGTCTCTCTCTTTTAAGAGGTTGAAGTACTTTGTTCTATCTCTGGGCGAGCTGAACAGCAGCTGCCCCAAATAACACTCTCCAAATCCAGTTCAGGTCGATCTTTAACCAGAGGTTATTAGTAATTTTGCAGAGGCCGGAGAGAGAGATCTTAAAATAACCAACACGTAGAAACAGGAATACCTACATGAATCCTATGGAAATCAGGGGTAGCCTGCTACTAAAGAACACTCAAATATCAACTGAAGAGTCTGTCACAAGGCGGAAAAGTTCTTCCTCTCTCTCACAGCCTAAAGCAGTCTCTTCCTTCTTCCACTCAGCAAATACTGAACACATACGCCTAAGGACAAGGTGACAGGGTAACCACATGCCCCTTCTCCATCTCAGTTTGGCTATAACAAGGGCAAATGTCACAAGTCTGTATCAGGATTTGGGGATTGCCATTGTCAGTTTCCCATCTGCAAAATGGGAACAACAATACTCCCTCTGACCATCTTGTCTATTTAGAATGTAAGGTTTTTGGGGCATGGATTGTCTCTCACTATGTACCTGTACAATGCCTAGCACAATGGGGCCCCAATCTTGATTGGGACCTCTAGGTACCAGGGTAATACAACCAATGAGTAATCCTCCTCCTCCTGCTTTTGTCAATAACACATAGGATTAAAGTTTTCCTTTTACAAACATACTGGGACAAATTTACTCTCCCCAGAGCAGAAGGCCACTCTCCGAGTCCCTTGTGCACACAGGATATTTGCACTAGAAGTGGGATTGGTCAGGGAAGGGCAAGTGAGGTGTAACAAATAAGATTGCCAAGGAGCCCTAGGTTAGTGTCTGCCTGGGCTATGAGATGAATGAGCACATATGCTCTCAGTTTGGCCCTGCCTTCTTTTGGGACAGCAATAGCTGGCTCCAGACCACCCCTCGGACAGACCAAGGGCTACAGGTAACTCATTCCAGGCAGACTTACTGCCTCTGGGCTTGCAGCCTACGTTCCAACAGCAAAATCTGGCAGGACCCAGGAGGTGAAATGAGTCCATGTCCTATTCTGCACAGGACAAAATGCAGTTATATAGAGCAGGGCAAAAAAATAAAATAAAAGCTCATGAAAATAATGGTGGGAAAACTTAACATTAATTTTGTGGTTTGTTTTGCAAAGTCTTGATTGCACTTAACATTTCATTTTTTGCCAAAAATGTAGCAGAAAACTTTGCTACAAGATTTTCACATTTTGATACAAAATTTCTGGAAGTGACTCAGCCGAGAGAGAGACACACACAGGTCAGAGCTGGAGGTGAAACTCTGGAGTTCCTGTGTCTGTACCCAGATCACTCCAGCACACCTCTCTCAGCTGGATGGAGTGCAGAGATTTGCATACTGTCAGATTATAGAAGCCAGGGCTGTGTTGGTGGCCAGAGTTGAAGGGCATGCATTTGGGGAGCTCATTTTCTAAACAAGTATCCCAGGGAGATGATGCAGTGCAGAAATAATCCTACACCAAAAGGTCTGGCTTTTATTCAGGTAGAAAAGTGACGGCTAGGGTCAAGTTTCTCCTCAGTTTGGGCATTACAAGGGATTGTTCTCATATTGGCATGAGAATACAATAGGCCAAATTTATCTCTGGCATAATTCCATAAAAGTCAATGGAGTTATACCAGTGATGAATTTAGTCCAGTCTCTCTCTCAACTAATCAAGTAGCCAGCAATGGCACACCAAGGTTTCATGGTAGCAACGTCTGCAGCATCATAATAGTGGCAGCGTAAGCAAATTTCCCATCGAAACGTATGAAACTGACTAAATCCTGCCAGCTCCACTATTTAGTGACGGGGAACCATGAGTGGGACGACCCACAAATCTGTCTTCCTACTGGAGAGTGAATTCACTCTCTCTGATGTTCACCTAGTCTGAGGCCCAAAATATTTGATATTATGTATTATTAAAATGCTAAATTATCCACACACAAAAAACCCATCACCATCGCACTTTTCATAAGATCAGTGGTTTGCCTCAGAGTCTTGACCAAAATTTCCCCCGCTTGTGTTGTGTGTCATTTGGTTGCTACACTCCACTCCAGCAGTGGCTGCACTTCAATGCAGCTGTACAGTATATATAGAGATTTAAAGCATTTTGAGATGAAAGGGGTACATTAATATTATTACAGCAATAAAGGTCTAGTCTGGGCTATTCAAAGACAGAGACTTTGGGGATTTGCTATGAGGAAATTTGTACTAGCCCTCTCCATCTCATCCTCAATAAGCTTTTCAGTGCAGTCCTTTCCTAGGATCAAGCGAATGCGTATTACATCACTACTATTTCATCAGGTATGACAAGCGAAGTGGTTGTATGTACCAGGACCATAAAACCCTTCAGAGGTTCTTTTTTATTTCTGCTTAGCTGGGTTTTCAGTTAATTACAAAACTGAGATTAAAAAGAAGAGTTAGAAATGTATGTATTCTAGGAACCAAAAAGCTCTAGTAATTTATAAAACAATGTCCGTTTGCCAAGGAATCAGAATGCCGTATTCACTGTTTCATTACATTAAAAATGCACATTGATTGATGGTCTTCATTATTGTTGCTTTAACTCAAATTGTCATAGGAGAAACAATTGACAGCTGCAAAGCCATGTTGTGGGGCCAAATGCGCCAATGATAAAAAAGTAATTTAGAAAAAGAGGAATGTTTATGGACTGCAAAGCACATGCTCAAAATAAGAATGAACATGCTATGAAATAATATGCATAAATCTGTAAATGCACTGCGGATTCAGAGGACATCATGCATCATGACAGTGGTGTTTGAGTTCATGCAATTAGAACATTGAGATAGAACTTCAGCCTTAAAATTCATTGGGGAGAAGCAGGGCCAGATTCACTAGTATACTCCAGCTTCTTTGTGCCACTTCTTTCATGAAAAGCAGCCCGGGTGCATTGGTGAATCTGGGCCATATTGTTTAACAATATACATGGAAGTCTGCTAGATATACTGAAATGCCTGTCAACACTGGGTGGTTTATCTTTAGGGGTTAAACCCTTTCTCTGCTGATCATTTAAGGCTTTGGCCTCTCCCCAATCTTGGGGGGGGGGGGGGGGGTGATACCCTACTCACTCTCTGCTTGTTAAAATTTTCACTGATGTATGGCTGGGTGGTCCATAGCATTATTATTGTCATGGAGACTTTCATTTCTAGTCACTGGTTCCAATCCAGCCCACATAAGCAGTGATCAATAGCTACCATTTGATGACTGACTGGTGCTTTATGACAAATTAGTTTGCTGTCTTAGGGCTGGTATACACTTGAAAGTTATACCAGTATAACAGTCAGTTACAGGTTTGATATTTTTTATATTTTATTTATTTTTTACAGATATACCAAGAAAAAGCTATAGTATATAGATAGGAAGAGCTCGATCAGTAAAAGCACTTTTATGCCAGTATAACTGGTGTGTGTACGTGTACACGCCACTTTAACTATACTGGAAGAGTTAAAGGAGTACAACTTTCTAGGCCTTGCCTACACTACACATGCTTTGCCAGTACAGCTATACCAGCAAAACCTCCTCATGTAGATGCAGCTTTTATGCCAACAGAAGGCATTTTTCCATTAGCATAACACCACCACCTCCCTGAATGACACTCGCTATGCTGAGAGAAGCATTCTTCTGATATGGCTGTGCCTACACTGGGGGTTTTGCCAGCATAGCTATGCTGGCTGGGGTGTGTGGTTTTTTCACCTCCCCTGACCAACAGAGCTATGCTGACAAAATTTCGTAGTATAGACCTGGCTAGAACAATGACTTAATCAACTCCCAGTGGATAGGTGTTGAAATCACAAAAACACCACTATGATTGATTGAATGAATCATAGAGACTGAACTGTCCTCTCACCCCTGGAACTAGCCTTCACTAAAAAAATGAGGTCATGTTAGAATATGACCTTGAGTCATGTTAACCAACATGATGTTAAAGCATGACTTTGTAATCTGTGCAGACAAGAACAAATTGTGTTTAAAATTGTGTCAGCTGGCCAAGTGTAAGCCCTACTGGATAAGTACTTTGCTACTTGCTGTGTAAAACAAAATTCACCAAATAAATAAATCCAGCACAAAATTCACATGTACATAAACAGAAAAAGCTTTAATTCTCCTGCTATGCATGGTTGTATAGTTTGCTGTTTCATAGTGTTTGCTTTGGTTTCATACGTTGTCAGTTGTATTTTGTCTGAAGTGAGCTTTCTTTAATTCTAGCTTCTTAATTTTTATTGAATTTTAATGAAAATGTTAAAAGCCAAAACCAGACCCTAATTACAGAATTAACATAAAGCACAGAATAGACCTATTGATACACATAATTACCCATGGATGTCTAAAACAAAGCTGATCACCAAGAGAAGTTTTTGCAACCTTATGCACTTGTTACATTGCTAAACATGCCTTCAGGATAGGTCCAGCCAATGAGAGGGTTCTGATGATATAATGCTTCTGACATTGGTTCACTACTTTGTTCAGCAACACCCTGAGAAAGTTGTATGGGTGGAGTTCTCAAGCAACATCATGAACTAGAATTCTGCCTCCGGCTTGCTCGTATAGTTGAATTAATTTCTCTTAATAAAGTCACCAGCTGTTTTATTTTTAACTTATCACTAGATTTCAGTACTGTTACTTCAAACACAACACATTTTAAATAGCTCCAGACAGGGCCGGCTCCAGGTTTTTTGCAGCTCCAAGCAACAAACAAACACAACAACAACAACGCCGGAGTTCCGCCACCGAAGCAAAAACAAACAAAAAACAAAAAAAACCCGGAATGCCGCCCCTTGAAAAGAGCCACCGCAAGCACATGCTTGGAACGCTAGTGCCTAGAGCCGGCCCTGGCTCTAGAAATTGCTAGGTTTATTTTCTAATTTTAAAAAACCCGGCTATAAAAAGGGTGTGTGGATTTGCTGAACCTTACCTCCAAAAGTCCATCCTCTGGTAGATCTGTACAGTGGACAGCATTCTGAATCTTGTTTTTACCAAAGATGGCACGCAGGGTTCCAGGTCGGAGGTGACGGGCTATTTCCTATTGAATATATAAATATTAACACTGTGTGAACCTTACAGACGTGTTACATCATAGACCATACAAACAAATATCAAGTAAAGAATTAATTGTATGTTGATTAATATATGTACAGTATACCAAAAATGAAAATTAAGAGGTAAGTTCCAACTTGGACTTCATGTATGCACTGTGTGGCTGAAAAGCCATGACCAGGATGGGAACCGAAGGGTGAAAACAGTCTGACATGAATCTACTGTAATTCATAGATTCCAAGACCAGAAAGGACCATCTAATCTGGCCTCCTGTATAACACAAGTTACAGAACATTCCAAAAGTAATTCCTAAACCATTTATTTTAGAAAAACCATCCAATCTTGATTCAAAAATTGTGACTGAGAATCCACCATGACCCAGTGGTGAATTACTCTCACTGTTAAAAAAAATATTCCTTATTCCCAATCTGAATTTGTCTAGCTTCAACTTCCAACCACTGGGTCATGTTATACCTTTCTCTGCTAGACTGAAGAATACATTATTAAATATCTGTTCCCTAGGTAGATACTTCTAGATTAGAATCAAGTCACCCCTTAACCTTCTGTTTGTTAAGCTAAATAGACTGAGCTGCTTGAGTCTATCACTATGAAACCACCAGGGATTGTCAGCAGGGGTAGAACTCAGGACCTTCCACAATATATGCATAAGCACCTAACACTTGAACTAATGGAATTAGCTGTGCATATGTAGCAGGCTCTTATCCACTACATGGACGAGTCACTAGAGATGAAACACTATCACACATGCTTCGCTAATGCAGAGTGCTACACTAGCTATCCTCCAACCTGAAGAAAGCAGATTTTCACTTTAAATTTGACATTGTCAAAACTGAGCTCCTGATCCACCCTCAAGCCCCTTCCTCTTTTCTCTGTCACTGTGGACACCACCATCTATCTTCCTCCTAATCATTCAGCCCCATAACCCCAGGCATCAACATATTTAGGCTATATCTAAATCTTGCCCTTTCTTCCTTCATAACATTTCAAAGATCCACCTTTCCTCTCTGTCCACACCCCCAAATTACTCATTCAGGCGCTCATCTCACATCATGACTCCTGCAACCTTGCCCCACTCTAGTCCATTCAAAGCATTGCTGCTGAGATCATCTATCTGTCCCATTGTTGTGACCATGTCAATCCCTCCAACCTCATACGAGTCCTGTCTCAACCATGCCAAATAAAAGTTTCTTGCCCTTACCTTCAAGGCCTCTCACAATGTAGCCCAGCCATACCTACCTGCTCTATTATCTTATTGTGTTGTCATTTGTCCTCTTTGCTCTGCCAACAATGCAGGATTGACCACCCACTTGTCTGCCTCTCCCACGAACACCTTTGAGCTTCCTTCCATTCCATCCCTTAGGCACGGAATATCTTCCCTGAAAAAGCCACCATAATGCCACTGCCCTGTCCTCCACCTTGATGACTACAGACCACCACCAGCTGAGAGGGGTCAGGTAGGTGATGAGCTGAGACTATTGCTACTGAACGGCTGATTTGTCTTAACAACAAAATATACACATACCAATCAACTGTGCACATAGCTAGTCTCTGAAAAAACATGCTCATGCTACTCTTACCCTGGCTTTTCACACTCCAGTTTCATCCACCTGTTATGTCTTGTCTTAAACTAAGATTGAGGCAGGGATGGCATTCAGCACAACAAACCCCAACCTGACTGAGGCCTGCACATACTTCTGTAATATTAATGGTAATTTAGTTAACATGTACCCATCTGAAAAGCAATTAACCCATATTATGGCTGGATTGAATCTGGCCCAAACCACTTTCTGATGAGAAGCTTCATTTCCCCATTGTTACTGTGTGTATGCCAGTGTTAGGTTATTGTTTACTTTGTAGTTATTGCTTTACTCTTTAGTTGTGGACACAGGAGAACACATGATGAAGACACTCTTAATCTCAATGGCATTACAAGGTTTTGCTTCCTAGTAAAGTCATGGGAGTAGTTGGGAGGTGGGAGGGGACATTGCCCTCCTGCCCCCGCAAACTGCAAGCCATGGACAGGTGCAGAATTTGCCCCTCTCCCCCCACGCGGCCCCATTAGCCTGACTGGAGCTGCCCCCCCAAATATAGAAGTCAAACTACACCTATGAGTAAAGTCCAAGAGATTCTCGTAAGAAATAAAAACCTCCTATACCAGATCATGTATTGGGATCGCCAAAACCTGAGATTGATGAGGGAACAAAAATCACATGCGAGTTTACTGCATCTGCTTTGGACTTAAGTGAAGCCTGGCTTGAAATGACTGCTGCTCCCAGTTGGCAGAGAGCGATAACAATTTGGCTGCTAGAAGCTTGAAGAGAGCCCCAGGCTTTCTGTCTTTTCAAGTAAAGTTTAAAAAGACATTACAAATATTTCTGTAGCCATAAAATGTTAGCTACCACTTCAGCAAGAATTAGCTCAGAGGCAGACTTGAAAGTCAAAGTTTTATGTTCACACCTTTTCCCCTCCAGCTTATCTAAAATGCTGCTTCTAAAATCATTTTCCTCTCCCACTTTTCCAACACGTCCCTTCTTTCTCTGAATTCCTTCAGCACTTTCCCCTCACTTTTCTCATAAAATTCAATCTCCTTGTCCTCACTTTCACATCCCTACAGAGTCTTGCTGTAGCCTACATCTCAGCTCCCTTTTCTTCTACTCCACTTCCCAAGCCTCCTTTCTAAGTGCCCAGCATCTGTCCTTCGCCCATACTGCCTCTTATGCTTGGAAGTCTGTTTTTTCTTTATCACCCTGAGACCTCCCAATCCTTCTCCAAACTTCCTCCAGGAAGCTTTCCACAGTGGCTGCTTGCAACACATCTCTCATCTCATCTCTCTCACAAACTCATGGCACCTATTGTACTAAGTCTAATTTTCCTGTGCCTGCATTAGATCATAGTTCACTGAGTCAAGTTTTGTGTCACCTTGTATGTTTAGTGTAAAATAAATAAAATAATAATAATACTTCTTGAGCAATCTAAATAGATTCCTATTGCCTTCAGTTAATATATGTGACCAGAGATAAGACCATTTGCACTAAGTAGCCAAACAAGGGACCAACAAAAAATTGGTTCCCTTTTAATTATTAGTTCTTTATTCTATTGCAGTAACACCGAAAAACCCACCTCTGGGATCAGGGACCCAGTATACTAGGCACAGTATAAAGAACCAACACAAAAACAGTTGATCTTTAGTTAAACATTAAAAAAAAGTATTGGAAATCTTGAGGATACTTCCTAAGTGGTCATTTCAGACGGGGCATTGCCTGTAGAACGCAAGCTACAGCTACACTACAGAGCTTACGGCGGCAGGGCTGCACCGATACAGCTGTAGCGCTGCTAGTGCAGACCCTCTAAGCCAACGCTAGAGAGTTCTCCTGTCAGCTTCGTTACTCCAACTCCTGCAAGGGGCGGTAACTATGTTGGTGGGAGAAGCTCTCCCACCAACATAGCGCTGTCCACACTGGCGCTTATGTCGGTGTAAATTACATTGCTCAGGGGGGTGGATTATTCACACCCCTGTACAACATAGGTTATGCCAACATAAGCTGTAGCGTAGACATAGCCACAGTCCTTAGTGCAGATCTTAAGGTATATGCTTATTGCTTCCTATGTTTATTGTTATACAATACATTTCTATTGCCTCTTTAGTACCAAGAGAGACACTCAAGTATATGGTCCTCTTCTATTTTTAATTAAGAAAACCAAACAGCACTCTATTTATTCCAGTTCTCAGAGTTTATATTTTACAAGCTATGTCATAACTATAAAGGGAAGGGTAACAGCTCTCTGTGTACAGAGAC